AGGAATGCCTGTACGGTGCCACTGCCTTGCACTCCCAATCGTTACCACAGCCGTGCAACCAGTCCTTCTGCTGCCCAGATAACAGTTAATTGTGTGCAGTTAATAGTTAATTGTGTGTACCCCAGCAGATAGGGCTTTATGCTCAACACAGAGTAAACCTGGCACTTTTAAGAGTTCTTTGAAAGCAGATCCAGCTTTCCAGCTGCAACAAAGGCCAGAACTGAGCTGGAGAAGTGCAACCTTTTTTGGCACTGGACTATGTTCGAGGAAATAAAAATCACTTCAGAGGCTGAGCTGGAATGGTTTGCCAGGTAACACACCAAAGCTCCAGAACGCCAAGGGGACTATAGCACAGCAGACTAAATGCTTGCTGCAAGCGGAAGGCAAAAAGGAGGAAATGATGATTAAAGGAGCCTTTTAAAAAATGAAACCAAATTTGTATAAAACTCAAGGTTATATAAGCAAACAGACTTCCCATAGCTCTGAAGAAAAATGAACTTAATCTGAGGCTCCCCCTTCCATCACAAATAGCTGGTCTGTTAGATTGTAACAATCACACAGGGCCTGTGGAACAGCAGATTTTGGTGAGAACTGTGTCTTCTGCTGAGAGGGGGACAGAAGAGCAGAGCATTTATACAAGCCCAGCAGTGAACTCACCTGAAAATAAGATGTAAGGGCAAAGCTCACACAATCAGTATGCAAACAAAAAGCCAAGTTCATACCTGATGCAAACCATGGAATACCCGTGTTTTGCCTTTCTTCAAAGGTGGCCCAGACCTAGAACACAAAAAGATCCTTAACAAAGAAGTCAGTATTGGTAATAAAACTTATGGTGCTACATTCAGTCCACCACCATGCCATGCTCCTCAGCCCTGTACTGGGACACTTGGCTCAGTGCTGATTCACAGAAAGGTCAGTTCCCATGGACAATCTGTATCAGTTTCCTCAGTGCTTGTTTTTGTCCCACAGGAGCTCCCCTCTAAACCGCTTGGCCTGGCAGAAGCAAACACCAGCCTGAGAAGCAGTATGGATACAAACACTAATAATGATAAAAAAGACTGTTCTCATTGGTGTTTGTAGTATTACATTATACTAAAGATAGTGCTATATTAAAGTATAATATAATTATGATATAAAATAGAATGTAATAAATATAAATAAATTATAACAATATTGAATTCTAATAATATAATTAATTATATATTAAAGTTTGTATACTTTAATGCACTTCAG